CGAATCTAGTCTGTCAGAAATGTCAGAATTGAACTTGAATTGAATTTCGTTCCCTTTGTATTTAAAGTTTGGCGTATCAATTTTCTTCACCTTTTTGAAAACACTGAGAGACCTTTCCTCGGACTCGTCGACAATGTCTCTCTTCAATAACTTCAGTTTGTTGTCCATGTAGTCCTTAAACAGTTGAAAGGACTCAAAAGGTTCCGAACTGGTCTCCTGTCTCGGCTCCTGAGAAACGTCCGGAGTAGAAGTTGTAGACTCTTGTTGATCCATGAGGGACATAAGGACAGAAACCAAGGCAAAGCTACTCGCCTGAGTAACGCGTAGACCTCGAGTGACGAAACAATATTTTCAACCCACCTTGTAACCTTCTACCACGTGACTAAACAAGCACAACTTCTCGTGCAGCACATGCCTCCACGGTAGTCCGTCTAGACTACCGTATTTACCCTAGATAAATTCATCTATTTATAGTTGTCTTATTTCTGCTAAAAGGTCCGCGCCTCTTCCAGCCAATCAGCAACCACTAAAACGTAAATAAACCTAGCTCCAGCCCTCGTGTACAGAGGCACACGTAAATTAGTACAAATGGTAAAGAAAGCAAGCGAGTGACCTATTCTTGTTATAGATTATCCCTGGTTATATTTGGGATTGAGTTGGCTGGATTAACGGCTGTTTATACTGGGCAACCCGGAAGTATTTGACCAATGGCAGACCTATTTAAAAATAGTCCACCATACTTGACATACAGCCTGGTTCCCGGGGTCTGATGCGCTAACGCTTCGACACTGATCAAAATACAGCAGATCCCGGGAACCAGGCTGTCTTGATATCGTTTCTTCTCGCGTACTTGTAAACGTAAATATTCCATGAGCATGATTGGGCATAGTGATCTGGTTTGATCTCAGGTCGCGTTGGGAAACGAATGGAAAAATACGCTTAGTCATTGAAAACAATAGTAATGCGAGGCCAATTACGTGATGAGCACAGAGTGGCGTTTACAGGGCTCAAAGAGCTGCCTTGACAGACCATTTAATGTAGAATGTCAAAATACAATCACGATAATAAGGAGTCGTTGGTCTATATATAGTGATATCGAATTTACCTTCCCGTACTTGAAGCAGCTGCCTAGATAATGCTGTTGATCACTAGATTGTCTCTATTATTAACAGACCGCCTACGTATATAGATGGGATATTGCCAAATGCTGTACGTGTTAAACAACAAACAAACAAAAAAATTAAAAACTTTAAAAAGGTGTTGTAGACTCCTTTGAAGAATAGTCTGTTAATATCACTATCTCGTAGTCTAACTGTATATTGAGTGATATGCATGAGTGAGTGACTTTAGTTTTACGCCGCACTCAGCAATATTCCAGCTATATGGCGGCGGTCTGTAAATAATCAAGTCTGGACCAGACAATCCAGTGATCAACAACATGAGCATCGATCCACGCAATTGGGATAAGATGAGATGTGTCAATCAAGTCAGCGAGCCCGATCCTTCCACCCAATCCCGTTAATCGCCTCTTAAGACAAGCATGGGTTACACTGAAGATGGGTTCTAACCCAGGTCTTCACGGGTAATTGTATATTGAAGTGGCTTTCCTTATATGTCATAATAACTCATTTGGTAGCAAGTTACTATTGATGTCCGCCGAGAAATTATGGGTTGTTTTTTAACATATACTTAACGAGCTTGTGTACACACTAGTATTATACCTATTAATGACAACCATCACGTACGAGGGAAAGCAGAGTTATCCCACCTGTGTTTTTTAACACCAACAGCAATAACTTTACATCTACACAATAAATTTACATCTTACCTGTCGCGTTTGTGCTAAGATGCAATAAATCGTAACAGGTCCGTATGCGTATCTAAAGTGTAGTTATATCTTGCCCAGCCTATATCTACTAAATACACATGATCTAGTAAATATATATTTCCTCTCGTTCCTCCATACAGATTCATCAGCACTCACACGAAAACGTTTTAAAAAATAATAATAATAATAAAAGTCTTAATGCAGATCGACATTTGTGTTCTGACAGCCACAGGCACGTGGAAGGTAGTTGCCTCGTGATTTAGAGGAAATAATTTTAACTGGTGGTTTGACAAAGTCGAGTACAACCAACACCCGTGTACACACTGTAAATCTAAAGTAAGTCTAAGCTCCTATCAGCGCCTGACGCTTTTTCATACATTCCTAAATCTGTAACAAATCAATAACTTGTATGCTACGTGTAAACATCTGTATATATACATGAAATAAAATACAGTCTTTGAAAAATAATACCACTGAGCAAACTGTCCTTATAAATCATTGCACTTTAACGCATTTTGTGCCAGTGGCTATATATTGAATAACATGTCTGTATATATACACTAGAGATGGGCGGTTTTACCGGTTAACCAGTAAACCGTGGGTTTTTTCCATGAGCCGATTCGTACGTACGCAAAACCGGGTTTTTTCGTTAAAATAAAACACTATTTTCTCTTCACAAAGATATTTGTCAGCAAAATTTGTGATCTCACCAGTTTTTCTTTATATGGTTTCTTTAAAATGCCGCTATCCAATGTAGATTGAATGAAGAAAATACTCGAACGAAAAGTACTGGCAATGGCATTGATGATTAACAGATTTGTTGTTAACTTGTTGTTCAGTTTTGAAATTTTCAATTTCATATGGAAGTTAGTGAAGGATATCACCTCAGTTTACTATTCCTTTTTGTGATGATTGATGATTGATGAGTGATGAGTACTTTTGCAAACTAAACTTGCAGTAATTTAATACCTGAATAATGCTGAATTCAAGAATCTCATTGCTCAGCCGTGAATCTTGCAATATTGCTAGTCAATGTGATTTTTGTGAAGTCATTTTGTGATGTTGTCAAGTTATGTTAGCTTAATGTCGTTGACTTATTGGAATTAACAAGATTGTTTATTTTGTTCATAATGTTTGAGTTGTTGAACTTGGCAGTGAGCTCAGTTTTGAAGTTTTGAGATTTCATCTCCTTGTGGAAGTTTCCTGTTGTGATGACTGAAATTCACAGAATAAAAAGAAGCCTAAAACACTTTTGTATTTTTCATACTTTTTTATTATATACTGACGGGCAAATGAAACTTATATGTTTATGTTCAGGTGTGGCAAACATAGTTCTGACGTTTGTGACGGTAACGGGCACAGTGCCACACTCAGGGGAGGGTTCTTTCATTATTATATTGTAAATAATCATGTTATGTATCTTGAAATATAAACATTATATACATATATATACACACACATGTTTACTCTGTGACCTGATTAATGAGTAGTGATTGTATTGCTTATATATGATTGTAGTTACTTATTGCTAAGCCTCCACATGTATTTTGCCCATGAAGTATTGTAGCGCATTTTGATGCAACGTATTTATTCTTTTACATGGCCTTCTTCAGTTGCTATTGCCATTAAACTGACATCAACAGAAACTATTTGCCTTTGTGGTATATACCAAACCACTCCAGTTACATTGGCGTCGTCATGCTCCCTTATATAGTCTCCTGATATAACATATGTTACCAGCCAACGCAACCAACCATTACGGACATTTGAAAACTATCGCTGGCTTGGTGACACCACCGATAAGAATCAGTGGGTCTGTTCGGGAAACACAGTAAAGCGTGAACAGAAGTCTCTAATAGCGAGTTTGTCAACTTCTGGATAGAATACATGAAAACACAAGTCTTCTGACTGAAGTTGTGAGGCGTCTGATGACGTCTGCTGGGATTCGCCTCCATTCTTCGACAAGGGCTTCGTCAAGGTCCCCAGCCCCAAGCCTCTTATATTCAATAGCAGGGTGTTTTATGGGTCAGCTTCCAGTTTCACTCCAGTCTGTCCGGTCACTGGTCATAGCTCACAACAGTTTATAACAGGTTAGTTTATATTTGAATTGTGTATTTTATGTTTTCATGTTTAGTGTGTATGTATTATTTCTTAGCTTCCTTTAAAGCATGTATCATGTTATGTGTGGCAAATAATAATCAAATTAACTATCTGTTACATGCAGCATAACTAGGTCTTAGCAATACTTTATATATGTAAGTGTATTGCGGGTAATCTTAGATAGCATTCCCACGAGGATGTTATCTTGCTTATTGTATAGGTAAACCTAATGTGTACATCTTCTTCTTTAAACTAATGCACCAAACATTGCATGTATGTATGAGTGAATGTATGTATGATGGGATGGGTTATTAGAACAGATATTTTTTGTACAGATGTAGAACGTTATATATTATTGGATTTGTATATGTTTATGTTCAGGTGTGGCAAACATAGTTCCTGACGTTTGTGACGGTAACGGGCACAGTGCCATACACTCGGGGAGGGTTCTTTCATATTATATTGTAAATAATCATGTTATGTATCTTGAAATATAAACATTATATACATATATATACACACACACATGTTTACTCTGTGACCTGATTAATGAGTAGTGATTGTATTGCTTATATATGATTGTAGTACTTATTGCTAAGCCTCACATGTATTTTGCCCATGAAGTATTGTAGCGTATTTTGATGCAACGTATTTATTCTTTTACATGGCCTTCTTCAGTTGCTATTGCCATTAAACTGACATCAACAGAAACTATTTGCCTTTGTGGTATATACCAAACCACTCCGGTTACATTGGCGTCGTCATGCTCCTTATATAGTCTCCCTGATATAACATATGTTACCAGCCAACGCAACCAACCATTACGGACATTTGAAAAACTATCGCTGGCTTGCGACACCACCGATATCTGAGCTGATGTGGGTTATGTCGGTCTTTGATCGTGTATAATAACGCATCCGCTTCAAGTCAAAGCTCAAGTGAAGATGTTGGAGATTGCCAGCACAAACTGTATCAGTGGGGTTTATTAATTTTGTCACCGTGACTGAGATTGCCACTTCGGAATTCACACTCAGACTCACTGACTGACTGATGGGAATAGGATACAAACATGAATTCGTATTTCAGTAAGGGTTCAGTTTCATTGTTTCGTTTTGTTAACAGGACACAAGATATTCAGTATTGTGGATGTTTAATGGTAAAGAGACGATCATTTCAGCACAGTGCTGTCGCCCCGAGCAAGTTTCCTATTAAAAGCGAACATTCGCCCAAACCTAAACAATTCTTTCGGTCTCGACCTTTACAGCAGGATGGGAAGAAATCTCAGCGTGTTCTCCTCCAGATTGAAGTTCCAGACTACCCAGAACTCGGCGAAGAAGAACCCAACAGTTCTCTTCCCTTCAAAGGCCTTGAAACAGACTTCCCCTGTCTCACTCGAGTGTAAGTACTACTTAATTTAAGTGTCATTGCTAAATAATTAGTATATACAGGGATAGAGCAAGTATTTGATTAAAGGGAAGTGTTGGGTGGGTGATTATATTATGGTGCAGACCAGTCCTCTTTAAACTGAATTACAATCATGTTAGTGTCAGGAAATATCTCTGAAAGTTTAACAGCATTACCTGAATCATTAGCTAGGTTTGTTGTTTTCAACATCAATATCAAAGTATTGTATTATCCACACACTTGTGCATGCTCTAGGCGCTAAGACATCATTCCCTGGTTAACCACAGCTGGATGATAATAATAATAGTCACATCACTTATCCCACCGGGTACCCATTTTCTGCTGGGTGAGCAGAGGCAATTTTGAACAAACCCACCTGCCTAGGTGAGAAGACCCGTGAAGATCCGGGGTAGAATAGGTCTTCAGCAACCCATGTGCTTGCCATAAAAAGGCGACTTTCTTGTCGTAAGAGGCGACTAACGGGATCGGGTGGTCAGTTTCGCTGACTTGGTTGACACATGTCATCGGTTCCCAATTGCGCAGATCGATGCTCATGATGTTGATCACTGGATTGTCTGGTCCAGACTCGATTATTTACAGACCGCCGCCATATAGCTGGAATATTGCTGAGTGCGGCGTAAAACTAAACTCACTCACTCACTCACGCCTAGGTGAGACCACATGTATCACATGTGCTTCGTTGTGGGGCAGGACGGAAGTCCTAGAAACCCTCAGGAGTCAAGCTGCCGAACACAGAGTCAAGCTGCTCTATGCACATGACCATACACCATTACCACAAAGTTTTCTTTGACTTGTGGTGATGAGGACCTCAGTTGATAAAAATTTAGATCACTGAACCACTAGGAGTGGGTCAAGGTGCTTCTGTAGCTTTACTGAATTACAAGCCTTTCGGAACGCGAGGATTGGGATGACTAGCCTCAACTAGTCCCAACTAGTCTCAGCTAATCAGTAGCAATACCAGCTACAAGTTTACATCAGTCAGTGTCCCTTTAACCTGTGAAGATTCGTGATACAATTGGAACAGGATCGGTTGGTCAGGCTTGCTGACTTGGTTGACATGTCATTCTATCCCAATTGCATTGATTGATGTTCATGATGTTGATCACTGGATTGTGTTTCCCAGACCCGATTATCTACAGACCACTGGAATATTGCTGAGTGCAGTGTTAAACAACATCAAACAAACACAAACATTACATAACGCATATGTTCAATCTTCTTTCACTCTTCTCTAATTCTTCTCTATTTCACCTTACCTCAATTAATAATTCTACTGAGATATTACAGTAGCTATACATTCTCTGTCATAAACACATATTTGAGCCACATCCTTCAGTGAAGAGTTATTGGATATTTTCATAGGGGGAAATTTTAACCTTCAATACAAAGTATGTTGCTTCATAGGAAGTTTTAAGATATAATTATTTTCGCACAAGGAACTGTTTTCATGCAACCTGTCATTAATTGCAAAGTTTTATGAAAACACATCGGCCTGAAATTATGTGCACCTAAACAAATTTTCATTATTGATACTGAACATGTTTTGTTGCGCTATGCTCTTTTGACATTGTAGACAAAATGACCGTCATACTCATGTGTTGGAAAGTATACATATTCTGATGTTATTCAGAATGACTTATAACATTAAACAAATGAAGTTATCAAACATATTTAACGTGCATTCATTCTGCAAATGTTTTAGACTGCATTTCATATTTCAGAAAAATCCATTATGACTCATATGGTGGTATACACCGACGGTTACATCTGTTTAGAGAGCTATGACAGGTGTTTTTGAACATGCTTCCTTTTTCATTCATAGTATTCTCAGTCATGCTAAGGTCAAGGTCACTGAGTTATCTCCCAAACGGCCTGTCACTAGTGCCCCAGTTTCATACAACAGCCATGAGTGGAGGTTACTCTGTGATGACGGACATATTTTTCAGCCTGCTTGTAATATCTGTGGAATTTTCAGGTCTCATTTCATCAAATGGAACATGATTAAATATACACCTATCTAAGCATAGGATACAAAGACATGTATCAACTAAGTCAGTGAGCCTGACCTCTTCTTTTAGTGGGGTGGTGGGATAGCCTAATGGTTAAAGCAATCGCTCATCACACTGAAGACCCGGTTTCGATTCCCCACATGGGTACAATATGTGAAGTCCATTTCCTGTGTCCCCCGCCGTGATATTGCTGGAATATTGCTAAAAGCGGCGTAAAACTAAACTCACTCACTCACTTGTAGACAGTGTCATACCTTTGATTTTTATAATGGTCAGTTTACCCATATGTCAAGAATCATTGCTAATGCCCTCAACCACTAGTTTATACTGGTCAGTTTACCCAGTCAGATGACCATTCTATAAACCATTGGTTTGCCAAGGGCACAGTAAAAACAACTTGAGGCCACATGCTTGAGGTACAAGTTTCATTTTGAAATACATATCATCAGAAATCATAAAAAATAAAACAGGTTCTTCCCCTTTGATTATCAATACCTATTTACTGTAAATTTTAATTCCCTTTTAATTATTATCATAAAGCTTAACTTCATGACTTTGTAAACAGAAAAGCTGCCAGTGAAAACTTTAGTTTTCCAAGAGTCATGGTGACAGAACGGATTGGAGTATGTTGGGAACCCTTGAGGAATTTTATCCTTGACCAGGTGTTGGGTTTCACAGAACCTGTGACTAAGCACTAGTCTGCAGTAGGTGGGTCTGTGACCTGAAAAATATGTTCTTTAGTCCAGAGTCTTCTCCCACAAGGTGATCCTAGCGCTACAGCTATTATTAGTCTCTGTTAAAGGGGAAGTGTACACGAATAAATCACATTTATTCTTATGTGAATACTATGTGAACTGTTTTAATTTGTTAATACCAATGTTTGAAAATACACACTCATATTTCTTACAATGTAAGTATAACCCTCAAAGTAAGTGCTGAAATGTTATGCCAATATGAGGCCTTTGTTTGCCGAGCTAAACAGGCCAGAGTTACCGCCCTTTGATTATGACGTAATTGGTGCCACTTGATTTTAAACTGGTCTCCTGTCTAGTCCCAAATCAAAAGATAATAATACTGAAATTAATCACGTGAAAAAAGTTTGTAAAAATACGAAAGAAGCATAAGAACAGAAAATGTAAGCAGCAGGACAGATTGATCGTGTGTATTTTCATTCATAACCTCACCTCCATGAAAATACCAAATATGTATAACAATGTTGACGTCCGTATATCACTATATCGGGAAGCGACTTTTTCAAAATGGCGTGTTCACTGACACGAGTACGCCGGAGTTTTCGAAGGAAATTTTCGTTGTTTCAAGCAACGTATATACATAAATGTGACATGTAAGTAGTCCGCAAATTCTGTCAGTCTGCTGGTTGTTATTTTCTTTTTGTTTTCATTGTGACCAAGGGAAACACTCAGAAATTCAGAGAAGTACCGTCTTGTGCGTGAGTTTGCGTCAGTCATGGCGTCATGCTTTCAGAAACTATAATATGTCGTGATGAATCTAGAAAATCATTGGAATACAGCTATTATATTTAACTATCTCTTGTTACGATACCTTTCCCATGCGTGTTGTAGAACTAATGAGCAAGTGTATGCAACAAGTAGGCGAACGGATACACAGTGTAAAATCTGGGATTGGCTTTGTTTACATTTCAAACAAGTGGTCCTTTCCCAGCGCGGCATCTGATATATTTCGTTCGATTTCACTGAAACACTTCGAATTGGTGACAAAGTTCATTTGTCAGTATATTTTGAAGTGTATGCGTAATTCAGGGATTCGTGTAAGGAATGATACGTCTTTTTTTAAAAATTCAATTCTCCCAGTAAAATTTGACATTTGAATTAAGACATACTATAAATTACGCAAAACGCAGTGAATGGTGATTTAGTAATGTGTCAAAACTGGCGAGATTTACGATGCATGTAATTTTCAGTATATTTGATCTACGAACAAACTTTCAAACAGAGTTCCAAACTCCAAATTGCATTTATCTTCGTGATGTATTTGGATATGGTATCGATATCAAAGTGAAGGTGGAAGAGGAGGGACATATCGTACGATTTATGTCGTAATTTTAGTAACAAACGTAGAATGCCGGAACATTCACCGATGGCAAGCTAGATGTGGTGCATATACGTTTTAGTTTTTGTGAAAAAAGATACTGTTGGAAAGGCGACCGACTCAGGTTGAATGTTATACAATTTGGCTACATGGTAACACTTTTAGTAGTCCAGCGGGTAATGGCATGATTTGTATGCAATTGTGCATTTACGTTTTAGATTTTGTGAAAAAGATACTGTTGGAAAGGCGACCGACTCAGGTTGAATGTTATACAATTTGGTTACGTGGTAACACTTTTAGTACAATGTACCAGGAATAAAGTGTTTTTTTACGCAATATACTTATGTCTTTATTCATGGGCTAATCTAAATAATGTCCAGAACATTATCTTTTTCAGACTGTTTTCATTTTTGTTCAGTTGTTTCTCTGAACAAAAAATGATAGTTAATAGATGTTTAGTAAATGATTAGTAATCCTTATTTTGTGTCTTGACAGCCAGCCCTGAAACCAGATTGCAAATGGAGGATAATTTGTACGTTTTGATAGTTGCCTGAATAGCCTTAGAGGTGCCACTGTCAATCATCAACCCCTACACTTTCTATCACTGAAATATTGATATGAAATATTGTGTGCATAAACATTTATTTTGGTGAACATGTACGAGTAAGTGAGCACCAGCAGATTAATTCTACAAAAAGTCTTGCGAAATAACAGTTCAGGAAATCATGTGATATCGCATCCTTTCCAAAATGTTTCAGACAAAATGCTGGCCCAGAGCCTGAGTACGACAAGATCACAATGGGATTCAAGGTCTACAATCACGAGACTCCATTCATGCTGAAGTACAATGGTGGAATCCTGCCTCACCTCAAGGTGGCGTTCGAAACGTGGGGAGAGCTGAACGAGGAAAAGAACAATGCTGTGCTTATCTCTGCTGGTCTGTCTGCCAGCTCACACGCCAAGAGCCACCAGGTATTTGACGAAATGTCGGATTACATTATTGTGAAAAGTAGTACTGGAGTAAATGATCGAATAATCGGTCCATTGATCTATCTTGCTTGCTTCAGCGATTATCGATTGGCTTAGGAAACTAATTGATATTTGTGAGTGAAATTAATTTTGTTAATTTTGTTAAATCAAGACATAAAAAACTGATGCAGTTTCCAATTAGTCTCCTGAGCCTATCGATAATCGTAAAAATGGAAACATAAAATTAAATTTTAGAAAGTATGTTTGTTATTGTTATGTTTGTTCAATCAAGGCAAAAATAACTGATGCAGTTTCCTGTCTCGTGAAAATGCAATGTAAACAACCTATTCGCATGCCTCAACAGGAAGTAGCCTCGATAGTCTTGATCATAGTTCATTTTTTTAATCAGTGAGTGAGTGAGTTATTATTTAACGTCACATCGGCAATATTTCAGCCATATCGTGACGAGAACATTTGACATTGTAATGGAATATGTATATATTATAAAACCTGTCATCGAAGGACAGTAAAACAACTAGAATATCACACTTGGATTTAAAACTAGTGTGTAAGGTTAAAACTAATAGCACTATTAGGACAATACAAGATAAAAACAGGCTATAGATCGCCAACAACTGAAGGTCGATCACCATACTAGGGACCATGGGGACTTACAGTACCTTGGCTACCTGCATGGACCCTAGTTGGATTTACACCATCCGTTCAGCTGCTGGCGATTGCAAGAAATGTTAGCTACAATTAAAATGACAAAATGCTACGTTTAAAAATCCTGGTAAGTTTAAATTGACTTTCGAAGTTTTGGACTTACGTACCCCTCAGGGGACAATATTTTACGATTCTTCAACCCCCTTGAGAGTACAGCCACTAACAATCTAAGTTACTAATCAAACTACCAATTATTAAAACACAGCTATTTACAGAACATATTAATCAAAATTCATTAATGAAATCAATTTCTTTTAAAAACCAAGAATTAAATGAAGATGAACAGAATTAAAAGATCCTTAACAGTTTTAACATTGAAATATTTATCCCTTATGATGGAGAATTCAACACAGTCAAGCAGGAGATGCTTGACCGTGACTCTCATCACAAGGGATACAAAACGGAGGATCTTCACCATTTAACAAATATTTGTGAGTGTACCTTGTATGGCCAATACGACATCGTCGCATGATGACCTCTTCAAATCTGGACTGACAACCCAAGTAAGTGTAACCGATATAGGGTTTTATTGCATGTAATTTATTAATACCTACTTGGGTGTCCCACTTCTTCTGCATCAGATCACGGATGTAGGTTCTAATGCAAGCTTTGTAATCAGAGTAAGGAAGAAGAAGTGGTGTCACAGATTTATTTAGTGCTGCCTTGGCAGCAAGATCGGCCATTGTATTCCCAGAAATGCCAACGTGGCTGGGTAACCAACAGAAGACGATGTCGCATTGGCCTGTAGCAAGATCATTATATAATTCGATTATTTCAATTAAAAGTGGATGTTTGCAAGAGAGATTTTTAATAGCCTGAAGGCAAGAAAGAGAGTCTGAAAATATTATATACTGGTTATGTTTTGGATGTCTTTGAATATATTTAAGAGCTGTTAAGATGGCGTTTGCTTCTGCTGTAAATATAGAGCTGTTATCAGGTAGTCTAGAAGATATTGTTCTGGCTCCAATGACAGTGGCACATGCCACTGCGCCACCGTCCTTGGACCCATCTGTAAATAAGGATTTGTATGTGTTATATTTGATTTTTAATTGATTATATTCTTGTTTATACTGTAATTCATTAGTTCCAGATTTCTTAAATTTTGTCAGAGTTAGGTCAACTTCAGGCCTAACCAATTGCCAAGGAGGAGAAGAAAGAAGACGGGAAGGAGCTATATTCTCCAGCTCAATGCCGGCAGCAGTAATAAATGGCTTCATTCTGAGCCCCCAAGGGCGGAACAAGAGAAGATTTATTGTTGTACAAATCCTCATAAAGAGGATTAAAGATACAATGAAATGCAGGATTCGATTCGTTAGAATATAGTTTTGTAAGATATTGTAAAGATAATTTTATACGTCGATGGGCAAGAGAAGGCTCATCTGCTTCGACGTAGAGACTGTCAACTGGAGAAGTTCTAAAAGATCCAAGACAAAGTCTCAGACCTTGGTGGTGGACAGAATCAAGTAGTTTTAGATTGCTTTTGCAGGCTCCACCATATACGATGGAGCCATAATCAAGTTTCGAGCGGACCAATGAGCGATATAGGTGGAGGAGGGTAGCTTGATCCCCTCCCCACTTTGTGTTGGAAACAACTTTCAACAAGTCAAGTGCCTTCAGGCATTTAGTTTTAAGGGATTTAATATGTGGCAGAAACGTTAAGTGCGAGTCAAAAAATAATACCCAAGAACTTGGCCTCCTTCACAACTTTAATGGGAGTGCCATTTAGAGAGAGTTCAGGGTCTTTATGCGGTTTGTATTTACGGCAGAAATGTATACAATTAGTTTTGGATTTTGAAAATTTAAAGCCGTTTTCAAGACACCATTTATTTATCTTGTTTAAACACAACTGCAGTTGCCGTTCAATAGTATGCATTTTCTTACCGCGACATGAAATATTAAAATCATCCACAAAAAGTGATCCATCAATTGAATCGTTTAAAACCTTGGATAAACTGTTGATCTTTACGCTAAATAAAGTGACAGACAAAATACTGCCTTGTGGGACACCCTGATCCTGATTGTAATGGTCAGACAAGGTTGAACCCACTCGGACTTGAAAGTGCCTGTCTTTTAAAAATTGTGAGACAAAATGAGGCAAACGACCTCTTAAACCGAAATCATGCAAATCTTTCAAAATGCCATGCTTCCAAGTAGTATCATACGCTTTCTCCAGATCGAAGAAAATTGATACTACGTGTTGTTTATTTACAATTGCATTTTTTACATAGGATTCTAATCGTACCAAATGGTCGATAGTACTTCGGTTTTTCCGGAAACCACATTGAATATTAGTAATGAGATTATTGGTTTCCAAATACCACACTAAACGATTATTTACCATTCGTTCCATAGTTTTGCAAACACAGCTAGTCAAGGATATAGGTCGATAATTAGATGCATCTGAATGGTCTTTGCCAGGCTTAGGTATAGGAACAACAATAGCATTTCGCCAAGAAGGAGGGAATTTCCTGAAGTCCAAATTTCATCAAAAATGTCTAAAAGCACTTCAAGACATGATGCAGGCAAATGTTTCAGGAGCTGATAGTGAATATTATCAGCCCCTGTTGCTGTATCATGAGCCTGCCCAAGGGCAGCTTGTAGCTCATGTAGTGAAAATACTTCGTTGTAATCTTCTCCGTTTTCGGAGTGGAAATTAATTTTTTTCTTTTCCTCAGTTTTCTGATATTTCTGAAATTCGGGAAGATAGTTTGATGAAGCCGAGTGTTGAGCTAATGTTTCGCCAAGTTTGTTTGCAATGTCGGAAGCATCTTCAAGAAAGTGATCTCCTTCCTTAATATGTTTAACACTCGGTTTAGAACCTTTGCCTTTGATCCTTTGGACCATATTCCACACCTTTGATATAGGTGTGCGGGAATTAATCTTGGAGACGAAGGTTCTCCATGATTGACGTTTATTTTGTTTGAAGGTACGGCGAGCTTTAGCTCTGGTTACCTTAACGTTATTCAAATTATGTACAGTTGGATGCTTGCGGAAATATTTTTCCGCTTTTTTCCTATTTTTCCTAGCCTGTTTGCAGTCGCCATCAAACCATGGCTTACGAATGTGTGGATTTGCAGAGGACTTAGGAATGGAATCGGTAGCTATAGCATTCAGTTCATCTGAAAACAACTGAATGGGGTCAGCAATATTCTGGAACTTTGCATGTTTCAATTTCTCAGTACATAACGAACTGAATTGAGACCAGTTAGCCTTTGAAAAATTCCACCTTGATGAGGGTGGAACGTCAGACGGGTTATTTACTGTTAGAAATGTAGGAAAGTGGTCACTGCCACATAAATCATCATGAACTGACCACGAAAATTCATGTAGAAGGGTCGCATCAGTGAGTGTAAGGTCCAAGGCAGAATAGCTACCCGTTGCAGGGTGTAAATATGTATGAGTACCATCATTAAAAATACAAAGACTATTGTCAGAAATGAAATCCTCCAATACTTTGCCCTTGGTATTAATACCATTACCTCCCCATAAAGGATTATGTCCATTCAAATCCCCATGAGTATGCAGGGCTGAGGGAGCTGGTCATATAGAGATTGAAGTTCAGATTTCTGGAGGTTTGAAGATGGAGGGATATATAAAGAGCATACAGTAAATGCAATGTGTAAAGTTAGTCGGACTGCAACAGCCTGAAGATTCGTAGTAAGTTGAACAGGGCTGTGTATTATGCCCTGCCTCACTAAGATAGAGGAGCCTCCATTGGCTTTGCCACCCGGGGTGAAAAGGAATGATGAGAATTGTATTGACGTAAGTCAAATGTATCTGTCTGTTTAAGGTATGTTTCTTGGAGACAGAAAATTGATGGCTGAAAATCTTGTACTAATAATTGTAGTTCATTTAAATTGGCTCTAAGTCCTCTGCAGTTCCACTGGATAAGTGTATTACCCTGACTCATGTTATATTAGGTGGTAGTACAGGGGATCTGGACCGTGGCGAATGACTATTGTGACGCACACGGTGGTGTGGAGTGACATCCATGTCCTCCAGAAGTTGATATTTGTTAAATATTTGTACCGGATCCCGTTGACCTTTCGGTACTCGATCCGATTTTTGGGAATAGTTGACTGACTTGCTGGCATTTACTATTACAGGTGACGGTGAACGAGATTGTTTACGCGATGGTGATTTTGTTTGCGTAGATGCAACATTTTTCGTTTGACGTATTGAATATTTCGCAGTCTTCACCCAGGTGATATCGGTCTGGCACTCTACAGATTTAACAGTCTTAGTAGGCTGACGGGTAACTACTGCAGAGTATGATA